AGCAGGTGCCAGCAACGGCAGAGTGAAATGGATGGTAAAATAGGAAAATCATCCAAACGTTGATTGAGTCAGGAGGGACTATACTGTGCTGTTCAAACTCATTTTATTTTTACTCTAAGAAATGTACTTTACTAAATTTGAAGGTGAGAAAAAAGCCTAGCCCACTGAATAAAATATCAGTAAACACGAGTGTGGATCTGTGCTCTCAACTGCTGGAGGCTACAGGGGGAGTGTGTGATCTAGATCTATAATTGACTTCTCTTTACAAAATTCGAATCTTGTTTCCAAAATTGTAAAATAAAAATATTTGGCTGGTGCCTGACCAGAGTGGCTCAGGTGGTTGAGCATCGTCCTGGACACTGAAAGGTTGCTGGTTCGATTCCCAGTTCAGAGCACGTACCTGGGTTGCAGGTTCGATCCCCAGTTGAGGCACATCTGGAAGGCAACCCATGGATGTTTCTCTCTCACATTGATGTTTCTCTCTCTCTCTATCCCTTCTTCTCTCTAAGGATGTCCTTAAAGAGGATTAGTGAGGATTAAAGACTATATATATATATATATCCAGCAGTTTTTGTTTATAGCTTGAATATACCTGACGTACAATAAACTGCACATCGAAACCAGTTTGGCTCAGTGGATAGAGCGTCGGCCTGCGGACTGAAAGGTCCCAGGTTCTGATCGATGTTTCTCTCTCATTGATGTTTCTAATTATCTCTCTCCCTTCCTCTCTGTAAAAAGTCAATAAAATATATTAAAAAAAAAGAAAAAAAAGATTAAAAAAATAAAATAAACTGCACTTATGTAAAGTGTATTATTTGATGAATTCTGACATACGTCTTTACCTGTGCAACAATCACAATAAGGAATATCCCATCACCTGCAAACCATTTCCTCCAGTCCCTTGGTAATCCTCCCCCCTGCTTCTCCCTCCCCCTTATCCTCAGGTGACAGTGGGGAAGAACTGGTGAGCCATCCAGGATGACAGCTCAGGTCCTGGGAGGGCAAGACCAGCCAGAAAGGGAGTGGCCATGTGGGAGAAAGAACATCTGGCTGAAAGGTGGGAATAGTAGGAAGAGGTGCTAGGCACTCAGCTGGGTCCAGGACCACTGTTAAAGAATCCCAGCGCAGGCTGTTTGGTGGCGGCGCTCCTTCCTTACCCTGGCCCCTGTCACAGGGCAGTCTCTCTCCTGCTGTCCATCTCCAGGGCCACCAAAGCTGCCCCTGGCCTGCTGCCCCAAACTACCTTGCAGGAGGCTCCCACTTGCCCACTGGCTGGCTCAGCCTTGGCCACTGTGCTCTGGGACACAGGGCTCTCTACATGTACTGATGTCCAGCCCTACGCGGCCCTCGGCGCTCATTGAGAGAAGGGCCTGCCACAGATGTATCTGGAACTGTCCCCTTTGGGAGGAGGGCTTCTTTAGACAGCCTCCCAGAGCCTGCTCCCCAACTCTCTGATCTGGGTTCCTACTATAACTCCACTTTTGACACAAATCATTTTCAAATATTACAATAAAATGGCCGAGAGAGGTGACCTCACAAAAACATGGGGAAAGAACAGATAGTCTGGGGAAAACTGGCTCAGTGCGAAAAATAAAGTCAGGTCCCTACCTTACATCACACCGAAACAGAAAAACTCCAAGTGGATTCAAGTCATAGTGTAAAAGGGAAAACTATACATTCAGCAATCCTTTTTAAAAAATATTTTTATTGATTTCAGAGAGGAAGGGAGAAGAAGAGAAAGATAGAAACATCAATGAGAGAGGATCATCGAGCAACTGCCTCCTGCACACCCCCTACTGGGGATCAAGCCCACAACCTGGGCATGTGCCCTAAGTGGCAATTGAACCGTGACCTCCTGGTTCATAGGTAGAGATGCTCAACCACTGAGCCACCCTGACTGGGCCAGCAGTCTCTTCATGGGACTATGAAAGCCAGCGCTGCAGGAACATCCCTTTCCTTTCTCTTCTTGGACCTCTGAACCTCTCCAACCTGTTTCCTCATGAACCTGTGCATTGGAAGGTACGGAAGTGGAAGTGCTATATTAGTAATGTGAATCCCCATACTCTGCTAGGATCAGAGTTAATTTTTACTCTGATTGGTGTCAAATGCTATCTTAATTCATTCCCTTGAGTACCAATGTGGTTCAGCATCTTTTTTTGTGTTTTCTAGCCACTTGAGTTTCCTTCTCCAGAACTGCTTATTCTATTCATTGCTCATTTTTTTTAAGGGGTAGCTGTTATTTTACTGTTTTGTTTTTTTTAGGACTTCTTTGTGTATTCTAGAAATGAATCCTTTATTAGTTATATCTGTTCTAAATCTCTTCCAAGTTGCTATGCACTGAATTGTGCCTCCCAAATTCATTAGTTGAAGCTCTAACCCCCAATTCAATGGTATTTGGAAATTGAACTTTTGGGAGGTAATTAAGGGTTAGATGAGGTCATGTGTTGGGGCCCCAATGATGAGATTAGCGGCTTTATAAGAAGAGGAAGTGAGAGAAATGGCTCTCTCCCAGGTGAGGATACACCTAGAAGGAAGCCCTCACTAGCCAAGAAGAAAGCTCTCAACAGGCAGGAATTTGCTGCCATCTTGATCTTGGACTTCTCAGCTTCCAGAATTGTGAAAAGTAAATGTCTGTTGTTTAAGCCACCCAGTGCATGGTATTTGGTTATAGCAGCATAAACAGACTAACACACTAGTCTATGATGTGTCTTTTGTCAAACAGAAGGCCAATTAAAAAAATATTATTTTTTTCTAAAATAAAATTTACATACAGTAAAATTTACCCTTTGTAGTGAGCAATTCTGTGAGTTTTGGAAAACACATACAATATAGAACTACCATTACAATCAAGGTATAGAACACTTTTTTCACTCCAACAAATTCCCCTGTCCTCCAGTCCCCACTGGTCTGATTTTTGTCCCTATACTTTTGGAAGTATTTAAATTTGAATCATTCTTTTCTTTAATAGTTTGCAATTTTTACTCTTGTGTAAGAAATTTCCCTGATCCAAGGTTCTAAGTATATTTTTCAATGTCTTCTAAAAGTTTTTCTTTCCAACTTTATGCTTTTGATTACTCTGTAATTATTTTTGCATCTGATGTGATAAAGGGATCTAGTTATGAGGTTTCTGTATTAATGAATGGCACCAGCTATGGAACAATCCATCCTTTCCTTAGGATTAGCAAAGCCATCAAGGATAAAACTATTGGGTTGACCACTCAAAATTAAAGATTTCTGCCCTAGCCGTTTGGCTCAGTGGATAGAGTGTCGGCCTGCGGACTGAAAGGTCCCAGGTTTGATTCCAGCCAAGGACACATGCCCGGGTTGCAGGCTTGATCCCCAGTAGGGGCCGTGCAGAAGGCAGCCAATCAATGATTCTCTCTCATCATTGATGTTTCTAAGTCTTCCTCCCTCTCCCTTCCTCTCTTAAATCAATAAAGAAATATATTTTTAAAAATTAAAGATTTCTGTTTAATTTTCCAACAGAGTTCATGAAGGGGTCACAGGCAGGGAGAAGATATTTACAACATCAAAAACTGATAAGGGATTTTTTTGGTTAATCCTCACCAGAGGATATTTTTTCCATTGATTTTTATAGAGAGTGGAAGGGAGGGGCGGGGAGATAGAGAGATATCTATGTGAGAAAGACACATCAAGTGGAGTGGTTGCCTCCCAAAGGCAGGGATCAAACCTACAACCCTGATATGTATCCTTGATCAGGAATCAACCTGGGACCCTTCAGTGCCAGGGCTGATGGTCTAACCACTGAGCAACCGGCCAGGGCTGATGAGGGATTTTATCTGAAGAAAAAGTCAGAGAATCAAATAAAATAATAAGCAAGTTCTACTGAAGTATGGTAGCAATCATCTCAGGTAGAAACTATAGTTTAACTTTAACCCTGCTGTTTGGCTTCTGTACTTACTTGCTTTGTTTAACAATAGAAAAGTTACTTTGATTTTCTGAATTGTATAAATCATCCCATTCGATTGAATACCTTATTGATTGTAATGTGAATACCCCATTGATTGTAATGTGAATACCCTATTGATTGTGATCTTACTTACTGGTTATCGAAGCACATTCTTCTGTACCTGGGAACCAGGACAGCACAATTATCCAAAGACCTGAGGGTTCCAGATAATGTTTCCCTGTCAACTCAGTGGTCCAAAGACCCAAAACTATAATTAATCTTTGTAGATAACTAATCGGCTCAATCTCGCTTCTGTTACTGCTTTGTGCAAACCAGGGTCCTCATTCCAAACCCTGGGATGTAATCAATACCTTTGTGATTTTTGCCTATATAAATCTGGTGTTGCGGCCATCTTATCACTGCGAGATTTGGGAGAGCAAAATGCCCCCTCATAGTCCCGGATTGCAATAAATGTGACTCTTTAATTCAACTTCTTGAGGCGTCCTTCTGTGATTCGCGGGGTACATTATAACACTACTACTGGGCAATTCACAGATATAAGATTCAAGTTGGCCAAATACAGTAAGAAACATTAGCATTCAGTGAAGTTCGAATAAGAGAAGATGAACCCTAGCTGGTTTAGCACAGTGGATAGAGTGTTGCCCTGTGGACTGAAGAGTTCCAGGTTTGATTCCAATCAAGGGCACATGACAGGGTTTGGGGCTGGATCCCCAGTAGGGGGCATGCAGGAGGCAGCTGATCAATGACTCTCTCTCATCATTGATGTTTCTATCTCTCTCTCCCTTTCCCTTCCTCTCTGAAATCACTAAAAATATATTTAAATATATACATATATTTTTTAAAAAGAGAAGATGAGATAACATTTTAAGTTGTCAGGCTAGAAATCATATGTAATGTTTACTATAATTTTGGGTATTTCCTCTTTATTTAAAAATATGTGCATTAAAAAAAATGGATTTGTAACGAAATTGAGCTTTTCCTATATCCCTCCCCCTCCTTTTGTCAGTGGCCAGATCTCACCCAGATGATGGAGAGGCCCTACTTCAACTAAGGTTTCCTGACCCACTTTCCTCCACTCCCCTGGTAGGTCCCACAGGGCTGTGCCACACAGCCAGGAATCTGCTGAATCACCTTCCTATTTTTCTCCACAGGCCAAAAGTCACCAGGGAAGAGGGATCAGGAGACCTACCTGCTTAGAGAGTTCCAAAGAAATGTTTATCCCAAGTAACTTCAAAAGAAAACATTCACAGAGGGAGATTTCCACAGACATTCGCTCAGACCCCAAAACCAACAGATGTGAGCTGCACCCCATCCTCCCTTCCTCTTCTGTGTACCTGACACCTGGTTGAATTAAATCGTGCATAGGAGGAGTCAGTCAAAATGGCAAGAGGGGTTGTGTGTACTGAGCTGGTTCATTTCATCTGGACCAATAAAAATGTCCGTAGGCCACAAAGGGGACACTTGAGGTCTGAATGACTGACCCAGAATTGTCACTTTTAATGTTTCACACACAGAGCCTCTTGAATTGGTCCAAGCTCACCATGCTGGGGTTCCATTTTGGCACATCAGCCAGCCTAGGAATGCCAAATTTTGGGACATTTTCAGCAGGAGGAATGCCTATTTCCCCAGGATGCAGCTCTGATATATATTTTTTTCACCTCACCCACATTAACCCTCTTATTTAGAAAGGCTGACACATCACTATAACTACCTCGGAAAACTGTATTTGGCCAAAGGCATCAGTCCTATTTCAAATTCTTGCCAAAACTGGAGATATTTTTTCTCTGAACACAGAATCTTCCTGAGTAGAGCATACAGCTCTTTTTTTAAAAAATTAACTTCACTTTGATTTTTAAAAAAATATATATTTTATTGATTTTTTACAGAGAGGAAGGGAGAGGGATAGAGAGTTAGAAACATCGATGAGAGAGAAACATCGATCAGCTGCCTCCTGCACACCCCCTACTGGAGATGTGCCCGCAACCAAGGTACATGCCCTTGACCAGAATCGAACCGGGACCCTTCAGTCCGCAGGCTGACGCTCTATCCAGTGAGCCAAACCAGTTAGGGCGAGCACACAGCTCTTAAAAAGAAATTGAGAATATAGTTGGGGAGGGTGGAATTCCTTGCTTTTCTTTTTCCAAGGCCAACCTCACAAAATCCCGTACCATGTGCCCTGGGATTTTTGTCATGGATGATGACTCAGTTAATTAACACTGTACACTTGGAAACAGAGGTTCAGTTTCCTTTGGTTCTTGCCAAAGCTGCTTATGAAACATATCTGGTTTGGGTGCCCACAGCGTTTAAAAATACCATTTCATACACTCCCTCGATACATTTAGTTACAGGCTAAATTTAGCACCTCGCCTGGGGCCCGGCAGCTCACCTGCTTCTAACTAGCATGTCTCCACTTTCATGCCTGCTGCAGGGTACTCATGTTCCTGTCTGTCGTCCCGTGTCCTCACTGATGAAAGCGACAGCTCGAGAAACAGATGCTAGTTGTCAAAGACAGCCGCGGTGCTGGGAAGGCCTGACTGCAGACTGGCGATCAACTCTACATCCTGTGAAAAACACTTTTCATAGGCTTAAAAAAGATCTGTGTTTAACCACTTGTGCCTTCCGTTACAAGTGAAAATACACAGCATTTCCCGGGCTCTCCAGCCCTTGGGACGGGACCGCGCGGACCAGCCCCTGCCTCTGCGAACCTCTGTGCCCACCTCTGTGCACGCCTGCGACCTCTTTCCGCTGCAGAGCGGGTGCGTGCGGGCTGCCGAAGGAGCCGGGCGGCCACAGCGAGCGCAGGTGCGCCGGTAGGCGGTACCATGCGGGGGCTGCGCTCAGTGCCGCGCGCATTACCCCTCCCATTAGGATCGTGTTCTTTGCTTATCCATGTGTGAGGGCGCTTTACGCTCCGGGAGGACTCAGGCCCTGTGTGACAGGTGCACTTTCGGTTTTCCGCTCTCTTCTCGGCGCAGTTTATTCATCCGCACCGTGCGTGGGTCGGCCGTCCCCGCACCCCCAGGCGGTGACATCAAGTACGCGTTTGCAGCCTCCGAAGACAGCCTCTTCCTGAGTCCGAGGGCCGGGATTCAGGCTGGGGCCGGCAAAGAACAGGAGCATAAGCGCCCACCCACCGGGTGCTGACTATCGCACACACACCGCTCCGCTATCCTGCTGCCCACCGCCCGCCTTTTATAGCCAGTCGGTGGGGGGCGGGGCCGGGCCGCGCCGGGGCGTGCTTACGTAAGGCCGGCAGAGGGCGGGGCAAGGGCGGCGGCGTTCGCTTGGGTACCTCGGGCGTCTCATCCTACCTCCTCACCCTCCTCGGCGTCCTCCTCCGCGTCCTCTCGGTCGGCCTCCTCGGCCCCTCGGCCTCACGCCGCCCCGCGTCCTCCTCCGCGCCCTCCCTGCGCCTGCCGCCATGGGCCGTCATCCGCCGCGCCGCGGGGCCGAGGGCAGCTGAAGCGCGGCGCCAACATGGGCGAGGGCGGAGCAGGGCCCGAGCGCCAGCCGGAGCAGCCCGGGAGCCCCGCGCGCGCACGCCCGCGCCGCCGCGGGGATGCCCGCGCCCGCCGCCGCGCCCTGAGCGCCTTTGTCTGCCGCCCGCACCGCCCGCCTCACTATTGGTCTCCCGGGCCCGCGCCGCGGCCCGAGTCGCGTCCATGAAGATGGAGCCGGGCCGGTCGGCCTCCCCAACGGGCGGCCCGGGCCCAGACCCGGAGCCCGGCGGACCCGACTGGCCGGGGGCCGCCCCTACGCCCGCCGACCCCGCCCCGCGCCCTGGGGCTGGGCCCGCGGGACCCTGCCGGCTTGAGCGCCGATCGGGCTCTGGGAGCCTCCTACCTGCTGCCGGAGTCAGGGCGCCGATCCCCGATCCCGGCCCCCGACCCCGAACCCCGACCGGCAGCTGACAGAACTTGGACCAATTATTTTTCCTGGACGAAGAATTCGGAAGGACTAAAGGCTCCCAAAAGTTGTCCGGAGAGCGCGTCTCTGGCGCGCGCAGGATTTGAGCGACAGCCACCACCGGAGGGGCGAGGTCGACTTCTTCCTTCTTTGCCCTCGGCTCGGTGGGCGAGTTGGACGCTGGAGGTGGGTCCCGTGGACACGCACCTGCCCTCGGACTTAAGCGGACCCGCTCCCTCACGAGCGAGCCTGCGGGGTGTGCGGAGGACGGCCCTCGCCTGCGAACCGTGTTCGATGCCCTGGACGGGGATGGGGGACGGCTTCGTCCGCATGGAGGACTTCGTCCAGTTCGCCACGGTCTACGGGGCTGAGCAGGTAACTCGGCGAGCGCGTCCGGGCCCCAGCGTGGGAGCCTGGGCCTGGGCGCCTCCTCCGGGCCGACACGGTCCTCGGTGGTCGGGAAATTGCACGGTTAGGACCAATGGTCCCGCACGTTCTTTTTATTCGCTTCTGCCCTTACTTTTGGTTGAATTTTATTAAAGCTTCTTTTCCTCCTTTGAAGAGGTTCTATTCTAGGGAGTCAGATTCTTTCGCTGCGTCCCCCTTCTACCCACCACCCTACCCCCGCCCCCTCTCCCGCGCCACACGAGCTGGGTCTTTCCTAAACCGAGGGGAGTTAGGTTCCTGGCATGAGGACAGGCCCAGCTGCCTGATGGAAGAGCTCCCTGAATGAAGAGGTGCCTGGCGGTTCCTCCCACCGAGGGCCCAGGTCAGGTTTGGCTGAAGTAAGTCATTCCTTCAGATCTCAAAGGCCAGGCTGCGCTTGGCTACTTACGATCATGCGAAGAGACACCGTTTTGGCATTATGTTCTAGGTAGAACTCATCTTTTATTGTCTGGGAGACAGTGCACATTTTTTTTTTTTTTTTTTTTTTTTTTTTAGAGAAGAGGAGAGAGGAAAACATCCACTTACTGTTTTCCCACTTATTTATGCATTCATTGGTTGGTTGATGCTTGTATGTGCCCAGACCTGGGCTGGAACTCATAACTTTGGTGTATTGGGAGGATGCTCTAACCAACTGAACTATCCCTCCAGGGCTGGTGAATACAAACTTGAGCAGCACTCCATCAGGGCCACCTCCACTTTTGCAGGAGATGTGAGATGTGTAGACAGGCAGCAGTGGGAATGCACAGTGCAGGGTGGCACAGGTACCAACCACGCAGTCTCTAAGGGCTGAGCTGCTCTGGGAGAGCAGCCCTTCCCCTCTGTCTCAGCACTCATGGAAGTTCCAGGTGACTACAGCACGGCTGTGTGTGTCCTGGTAATAACTGGGTAGACAGCAAATAGGTTACTGGTGTGCACTTTTCAATATTTCACTTAGTAGTAAGAAATCCCTAAAATGCTGATCTTCTAGTTTTGTATTTTATTGACTTCTCAACACATGCAGACATTTGTTAAGTGGGTGTTCAAGTGCATATGCATGGTGAAGCCAAGAGATCTTTAAGAAAAGAGGTAAAATTGACATCCTAATATTTTAGGGTGTCAGACACAGCATTAAAAACCTTTATGGCCCTGGCTGGGTAGCTCCGTTGGTTGGAGCATGGACCCCATACGCCAAGGTTGTGGGGTTTGATTTGGTCAGGGCACAACCAAGGAATCCATGAGTAAGTGGAACTGCAGGTCAATGTTTCCCCTCCCTCCCTCCCGTCCTCCCTCCCTCCTTTCGTCTCTTTCTTTAAAAGTCAATACATAAATAAAATTTTAAAAATAAAGAAATTTTTAAAAAGGAACCTTGATAAGAGGTCCATGCTCCCTCCCACCCTCCCATTTGTCCCTTGAGCCCAGGAAGAAGTGCATGCTTCTGTGGGCATCAGTGTACTGCTTTTGTTTAGCTCTTAGTTGGAAGACATTGCTCAGATGCGTCTCCTATGTCCTAGTCCAGTGGTCGGCAAACTCATTAGTCAACAGAGCCAAATATCAACAGTACAACGATTGAAATTTCTTTTGAGAGCCAAATTTTTTAAACTTAAACTATATAGGTAGGTACATTGTTATTAACTTAAGTAGGGTACTCCTAAGGTTTAGGAAGAGCAACACTCAAGGGGCCAAAGAGCCGCATGTGGATCGAGAGCCGCAGTTTGCCGACCACGGTCCTAGTCTAATGGGCAGAGAGATATATGGTATAATTTCTTGTATAGTTAGCAGGGATTGTGATTGCTGGTCCAAGTTCTTTTGATACTTTTCCTTCTTGCTCCTGGGTCAGAAAGCACCTTGGGCATCCTTGGTTGTGTTTTGCTAGTGTGATGTGTCTTCTCTCCAAGCACACCCTTTCTCATTACACCAAAGATGTTTAAAAAAATACCACATTTGCTCTCTTTTTTTTTTCTTTTCACCATAACCTGGCTTTGATAAAGTACTTTACAGCTTATATCAGGCTCATTTATGTCTTCACTAGATCATCACCACCTTTCTCTGAAGTAGTAATAGGCTTCATTTCACTTTGCAGGTAAGAAACAGAAGCCCAGAAAGTTTAAATAATTCCCAACACCCCACAAATGAAATTGTCAGTGCTAGAGCAAGGACTAGAACTAGGTCTTTTGACCTATAATCTTCAGATGGCTCTCAACTTCTTAGATTTGGTGTCTCAAAATATTCCCATGAAGTTTCATCTTACTGACTTCCATAAAACCCTTTTCATTTGAGAAACACCTTTTGTTGTGTTGTGACTGTCCTTATTGAACACAGTGGGAAAAACTTTGAGTTGTTATTTGGGGGCTGAACTTTCTTGTAATTTCAAAGTAGAAATGAATCAAAATTCTTTGCTCTGATAGGTCCTGGTGGAATTTTAAATTTGGTGGTAAGGCTTGGGTTTAGTGGGGATAGACGAGTATAAGGAGGCCTGTGGCATTGCCGCTTCTGTCTGCTCTCCCAGACTGCTCAGGAAGAAGCAGTGTTAGACTTGATCTAAGTACCTGGACTTGAGTGAGCTCCCTGGGATGGTGGAGGAGAGCTCCTGTTTTGGAGCAGGTAATTCACAGCGTAATGAAAGGTTGACTTTTGTGTGTGTATAAGTTTTGCTATCCTTTATTATGATTTAGGCTTGCTTTTCCCAAGTCCATTATCAGAGTACATTATAGAGGAGCAAAAAGAAGAAATAGTCTCTGATAGTGACGTAGTTTAGAGAAAAGTGAAGAATTCTACCTCATGATGAATATTTTTAAACTTTTAAGTGAAAAGTCTTGAACATATACAAAAGTAGAGAGAGAAGAAGGCTAGTCTAATGACCCCCCCCCCCAATCTCCCTGCTCCTTAGCCATTGCTCAGTTTCACCAGTCTTGGTTCATCTGTAAACTCTCCACCCCTGAATTATTATTTAAAAAATATTTTTAATATGTTTTTATTGATTTCAGAGAGAGGAAGGGAGAGGGAGAGAGAGATAGAAACATCAGTGATGAGAGAGAATTATCAATCGGCCACCTCCTGCATGCCCCACACTGAGGGTCGAGCCTGCAACCTGGTCATGTGCCCCGGCCAGGAATCGAACTGTGACCTCCTGGTTCATAGGCCAACGCTCAATTGGCTGGGCACCCCTGGATTATTATTTTTGATGCACATATGTGACATATTATTTCATCCATAAATATTTCAGTATATATCTCTAAAAGATAAGAATTCATTTTAAAACATTTCATGATTTTTTTTAAAACCCTAGAAACTATTTAGATAAACTGGATAACAGCAATAAAACCATAAATTTTTGTACTTTCCACCTTGAGATTTCAAAATATTGAGTGCACGAAACTCTTAGGCTGGTCACATTACTGTCCTCATGATAACAAATAGATTATCTTGATTATTTCAAAATTTTCAAAGGTAGCATGTTCAGTATCTTTTATGTAATCTGTTTATGAAAAAACATTTTAAATTATTTAAGTGCTATAGCTGAAATTTTAATATAAGCAGCTAGCTCCCATTTATAATACAGATGGCTTTTGTGTCCCTCTTCAGCAATGTCATGGTGTGTTGGGATCTCATTACCTCATCTGGTGATAGATCAGGTGTGGTGTAATATAACAGTGTTAGCAGGAATCAGCAGAGGAAAGGAGAAAGAAGACTACAGAAGAGCTTTCTCGGTAAAACGGGACTCAGTGCACCCAGGCACTAGTTGTGAACTTGGAATAGGTTTTCTTAAAAATATGTTTTTATTGGTTTCAGAGAGGAAGGGAGAGGGAGAGAGAGAAACATCAATGATGAGAGGGAATCATCGATCAGCTGCCTCCTGCACGCCCCACACTGGAGATCAAGCCCACAACTAGGGCATATGCCCTTGACTGGAATCGAACCTGGGACCCTTCAGTCTGCAGGCCGATGCTCTATCCACTGAGCCAAACCGGCTAGGGCTGGAATAGGTTTTTTTTTTAAACAAGCTTGATCACTTCTCATCAACACAATCCCTTCATACTGAGAGGACTGATGCTTTTATAGTCACCACTAACTCACTGTAAAGCAGAAATTATAGAATAAATTCTAAGAGCATTGTGGAAATGATTGATTTATTTTGGTTTTATTTTGCAAAGGAATTAATTGTAAAGATTATCTTCACATTGTATTATTACCCTAACTTAAGCATTTACATTTTGATAGTCACTGATCCTTTCCAGAGAACCCTACACACCGAAGTACAGAATGAATGCCCTTCAGTAACCTTGTAGGCATTGTCTGTCCTTACTTGCAAAGTAGGCTGCTGAGGGAAGTGTTGATACTCAGGTCTCCTGCTTTTCATTCCTGTACCTCTGCTGGTAGGAGTTGGAAGTCTCTAGGGACATTTGGCTGCACCTTTTGTTTCTTTTGGCTGCACCTTTTAGTTGCTTCAGTTTCCTTTCCAGTTTCTACCCTAGCCTTGAATTTAAGTGTGTGTGAGCATGTCTGTGTGTGTGAGCATGTCTATGTGCATGAGAGAGAATGAGTGCTTGTGTGAGCAGGTCATATGGAAGCTAGTGTGTGTGAGAGAATGAACCTAGTATGTGAGAACAGGTGCATGTGGGAGCTTCTGTTTTGTGTGTGTGTCTGTGTGTGTTTGTATGTGTATCTATCTCTTGGTCTGTATGTCAGATGAATTGGTAAAAGACAGATAATGGTTTTTAAAAAATATATATTTTTATTGATTTCAGAGAGGAAGGGAGAGGGAGAGAGAGATTAGAAACATCAATGGCCCTAACCGGTTTGGCTCAGTGGATAGAGCGTCTGCCTGTGGACTCACGGGTCCCAGGCTCGATTCCAGTCAAGGGCATGTACCTTGGTTGCGGGCACATCCCCAGTGGGGAGTGTGCAGGAGGCAGCTGATCGATGTTTCTCTCTCATCGATGTTTCTGACT